ATCCCACCTCACAGGTGTGCCACATCAGGATGCTGATCTGACATCATGAGTAGTGCACAGGTGTACCTCAGACTGCCCACAACAAAAGGCCACCCTGGAATGTGCAGTTTTGTCTCACAGCAAAATGCCACAGATGCCACAAGCAATGAGGGAGCGTGCAATTGGCATGCTGACAGCAGGAATGTCAACCAGATCTGTCGCCCGTGCATTGAATGTTCATTTCTCAACCATAAGCCGTCTCCACAGGCGTTTCAGAGAATATGGCAGCACATCCAACCGGCCTCACAACCGCAGACCTCGTGTAACCACACCAGCCCAGGACCTCCACATCCAGCAGGTTCACCTCCAAGATCGTCTGAGACCAGCCACCCAGACAGCTGCTGGAACAATTGGTTTGCACAACCAAACAATTTCTGCACAAACTGTCAGAAACCGTCTCAGGGACGCTCAACTGCATGCCCGTCGTCCTCATCGGGGTCTTGACCTGACTCCAGCTCGTCGCCGTAACAGACTTGTGTGGGCAAATGCTCACATTCGATGGCGTCTGGCACGTTGGAGAGGTGTGCGCTTCACGGATGGATCATGGTTCACATTGTTCAGGGCAGATGGCAGCTGAGAATGTCCCAGTTCTTGCATGGCCAGCATACTCACCGGACATGTCACCCATTGAGCATGTTCGGGATGTGCTTGACCGGCGTATACGACAGCGTGTACCAGTTCCCACGAATATCCAACAACCTCGCACAGCCATTGAAGTGGAGTGGACCAACATTCCACAGGCCACAATTGACAATCTGATAGACTCCATGCGACGATGTGTTGCACTGCATGAGGCAAATGGTGGTCACACCAGATACTGACCGGTTCTGGGTCCCCAGACCCCCAATAGCGCAAAAAACTGCACATTCCAGGGTGGCCTTTTGTTGTGGGCAGTCTGAGGTACACCTGTGCACTACTCATGATGTCAGATCAGCATCCTGATGTGGCACACCTGTGAGGTGGGATGGATTATTTCAATATAGCAGATGTGCCCACTACCACACATTTGGACTGATGTGTGACCACTGTTTGGGAGGGATGGTTATATTGTGTATCTGGAATGAATTTTAGGTCTCTACGTCCATCCCATGGGGAATGGGAGCAGTAACAAAGGTGTTGCGTTTATATTTTTGTTGAGTGTATATAATGATGTGCTACGTGGTGGCTAGATACACAGCTATGTTAGCATAATATAACAACATTGAAGCTGGAGGATGAATGCTAACTTTTTTCCACTTGATAAAAGTTAACGTGAAAGTACCCAATGGTTAAGTTTCTTATGACAGAGAAGTAACAGAGTACTGCTTAAATCCCATTTTTAAAGGGGAAAAACTCCTTTAAAATGTGCACTCTTCAGCTTGGAGTCTCCAAGATCAACTGGCTTTCCTGCTGCAACAGTGTCCTACCAAAAAAAACCCAACAACCCCCCTTCAGGTTTCCTCTCCCCTTTATAGACAAGGGCTCCAATCCTTCCCAATCAACTGCTCCCTGTACTCAACTCCAAATAGCTGGGAGCTAGATTAGAGTAGTCCACTCCCACATGCGTGTGGCCCACACCTCACACAAGACACACGGGGTGTATCCCAATTCAGGGTCTGCAACCTTAAAGGCGACATTTTAAGGCCGATTACGTCACATCGACGCGACGAAGGCTGTCCCAATTCAAAGGCTGCTCCAAATGCGGCCCTCAAATGCGTCCTTCATTTCCTTGAATTTTAAGGATGTGGCGGTGTAGAATTCATGGCCCAACATATCCCAGACTTCATAGCGCAGCGGTGGGTGTGGGTAATTTTGCCCCCCAAAAAATGGCAGACGGCTGAAGCGGGGCGGCCAAAGAGTAAACTCTTAAAAGTAAGTACTGAATATGATGTCACTTATTTATGTGTGAATGTTTAATAATGAAGAACATTAAAACATTACTGTTGGCCACATGTCGGCAGTTATGTGACATTAGTGATGTTTGTACTCTCAGCGTCAGCTTTGCTTTAAAGCCTTTACTTCAAAATATACACCGTTCAATAGTCGACCTTAATCTTACAGAGAATGTAATGATTTTGTGGATAATTAAAGTCAGTCATATATCCACAAACACAACAAGCTGAAAGTCAGTGATGCTGCTCGGTTTGCAGTCCTGAATATCACGGCACAACCAGGATTCACTGCACTGTTAATGTTAGCTATGTTTTATTGCTGCCTCTGTTCGGTGGTGTCGAGCCAAACAGACTTTAACGTGTGTTTGAACGAGCTGACGGTTCACTCGTTAAGCTGAAAGAAAGATGCTTTAATCACAGGAGTCACACATGTGTCCACTGTACCATCTGGGAACTCTTCTTGTTTAGCACTCGTAATAACACAAACACTAAATCCTCCTTCTCTTGTGCTGTTTCGTAGCAGTGTATACACCTGAGACTGTCACCTGTCTGTCTGTCCTGCACTCTCTCTCTGTTTCTTTCTCTCTGATTGTGTAACAAAAGTATGAACATGTGTTTATAAGTCACAGTTGTGTTTGAATCCTGCAGCTTATCACACATTTGATTTCCATGTGTGACAACTGCAAGTGTCCAGAGTGAGGACAGACTGAGGGACCCACTGCTGCACATCATCTGTGAGGCTTTGCACCCCTGATGATCCACCAGGACAAACTCAACAGTGTGTGAGGAAGAGGAGGAGGAAGAGCCAGCAGCAGCTGACAGATGGAGAGAATAGACAGACTGTTCCCTGTTTGTGAAGGACTGCTAGAAAACTGTAACATAACTAATTGTCTGTCCTGAATCAGTCTTATTAGGTAATGTTCAAATAATTGTATCATTGCAGTGTTTGCAGTGTGGGAGAAAGTACTCAGGGCCTTCAAGTTACACACTATGAAAGGCAGCAACAAGTTTAACATTCAGAAACCTAAAGTATGTATCAGCAGCAGAATGGACCTAAAAATAAATGTTTGTTTCAGTTCTATGAAGCTTTGAGTATTTTGGAATTGTTTGTAATTGTTTATATGCTTTATATATTCTGAGGTAAGTTGATCTATAGTGTTACATCATATTCTATAAGGATGTTAGGTGTTTGTAGACTTTCTGCCCAGTTTGACCCATTTAGCAGAAGTCAGCGAGTTTAAGGCTCTGATATCCATTCTGTATGACTTAAAGCAGTTATGACATGGTCTGATTTTCTCACCCAATAAAGGAATATTTCATATATCAGTCTACTCTTCATTCTATCAGAAACAGTTTTCACAGCTCGTACATTTTCTTTTTACACATATGTGTAAGCACTGAGCCAAATTTAGTTATGCCAACATAATAAAAGAACAATATTTGTCTCTTATATATAATACATCTATATATATCTTTGAGTAAATCTTTGAGTGAAGATTTAAGGTGACAGGAAATATAAATAACTGCAACTTGAATCTTTACTGAAGCTCAGTATTGGGCACAGAGTTCAAGTTCACTGCTGTAATAGCTATTATGGTTAATATAATAAAATTACTGTTCCGTTTCAGAAATGAAGCCCAACAATCATGTTTGCACAGTCCCGTGGTCTCAGCCTCAGATACTTATCAATCACACAATCATATAAAAACAAACAAACAAATGAACAAAAGATTTTCTCCTTCATTTCTGTCAAACAATGTTGTAGGAAACGTTTCCAGCGGTTGGTATCACGGTTGATAGGCAACATGGGCAGCGTGACGGATGCTAGACCATCCCATTTCAGAAGCCTCGCGCTTCAGGCCTTTGCGGTCTTTGAGTACGTGGCCCTTGTGGACTGTTAAGGCTGCGTAGTTTAAGGCTGCAGACCCTGAATTGGGATGCAGCGACAGACCCCAAAGCATGTAAAAAAAAAAAAAAAAAAAAAGTAGTGGCACTGGCAACCCAAATGTTTAGTGGAAGATTCTTTCAATTCTTTTCCACCATGCTACACTCAGCAACACTAACTCATAAAGCTCATTGTATGACGCCACTCTGCTGCAAACATTCTTTTTCCGTCCAGCAGAGCACATCATAAACAAAACTTCAATTCAATTCAATAAAACTTTATTGATCCTGAAGGTTGACCCGAAGGAAATTGGGTAAACTTGATATAGTTTTAACTCGATATAGTTTTAAAAAATATTAACTTAATTTTTTATTTTTTTAATCTTCCAGCAGCACTTCTAAAAGTAAATTGATCAAAATGTAATTAATTATTTACTCAGTAAATATTGGTAAGTGCAGTCCTGATCAAAAGTTTAAGACCACTTGAAAAATGGCAGAAAATAATTTTTTGCATGGTTGGATCTTAACAAGGCTCCAAGTAGACATGCAACAAGAATAAATGGGAGAGAGAAAACATTTTTTGACCATGCAATTTATTGAAAACAACGCTTAAAGTGTACAGGCTGTTTTACAGCCTTTGATTTCTGTTTGTCGGGGATACAGGTTTTTTTTGGAGGTGTGGTCTTAAACTTTTGATGTGAATATTAACTTTTGATAAATAATAGGGAATATTTCACAGAGCATCACAGACAAGTGTAAACAGCACAAACATAATGTTCATATTTAAGTGACAAAAGCTGTCACATGATAATGCAGGAAAGTGTCTCTGGGACGTTTAAGAGTTTTTTCTTTAGTTCATTTCTTTAGTTCATTCATCAAGTTCAACTTTCCTCTGGTTTGTAGTCATTTAGTTTCAGTATACAGGTCAGCGTCCAGTCAGGTTCAGTTCCAAAGAGCTCCTTAAGTAAAGTTCTAAGTTTTCTGACTTACAAAGAAATAAAACAGTCTGTAATTTTTTATCATAGTTTCATTTTACTAAAGAGACAGAAACAATAGCAACCAAACATCCAGATTAAACACACAGACATGATAAAGTGATTTGTGTGTCAATGAGTGGAATTAGCATTTCATCCATTAGTAATGTGTGGTTGTTTTTATGCAGCTCAGATCAAATTATCACTGAATGTTTCCTTCTTATTGTTCCAGTGTTGATACTAATACATCAGATGAAGACACAACAAGGTTCTTTGGGGATCTGTTCTGTGCAGCAGCAGAGAGAGAACAGCAGACAGGAGAGAAGATACTGGAGCTGTTATCATCAGTGTGCAGATATAAAAATAGTCCTCTTAAACAGAAGTGGTGTGACTTCCTCATGGACCTGTACTCTTATGAGACTAAAACAGGCAGGAGTGCCCTTCACTTATTACAGTCAGTTTTCCAGTCAGCTCCTGCAGTCTGGTCCATAAACCTCTCAGAGAGAAAGACCTCCATCCTCCTGGAAGTGCTGAAACTCCAACCAGAGAAGAAACAAGTGGAGCTGACAGGCTGCTCAGATGAAGAGAGTGAAGTACTGAGTTTCCTTCAGTGTCTGCCTTACATCTCACAGCTCAGGTAAATATGTTTTCCTTTAAAAAAACATATCTGCATTTGTAACACAGTATACTTCACTACTACAGAATGTAGAGTAAGTTAGGATCTTTGGGGTTATGTTCTCTAGGTACCAACTAAGGAGCGATTGATACACAGCTAAAAGAAAAGTTATAACAATAATTAAAACAACCCCATAAAGTGTTGGGTCGCAAATTTTGAAGCCAATATGATAACCTTATCCCACCAACGCTGTGGAGGACCAGCTTTTCAGATCTAAACAAAATCAAGTCACTCAAAAAGATCCTCTGGAAAAGAGTATAATTCTTAGAAGACAGAGTTTTATTAAACAGTGTCATTTGGGGTGGCTGTAGCTCAGGTGGTAGAGTAGGTCATCTACTGATTGGAGGGTTGGTGGTTCAATTTCTGGCTTCCCCTTGTCTGCATGCCAAATATCCTTGGGCAGGATACTAACCTCAAATTGCTCTCCGATGCATCCATCGGAGTATGAATGTGTGTGAATGTTAGCAAGGAAAGCACTTAGAAAAATGGGTGTGAATGGGTGTATAATAGTATATATGGGTGTTGTATAAAGCGCTTTGAGTGCTCAGAAGAGTAGAAAAGCGCTATATAAGAACCAGTCCATTTACCATATGAACAGCAAAAATGGTACAAATACAGCAAGGAAGCATAGTGAACGCCGCGGTGTAGAGCACAAACAGCAGAGACACACAAAATGACAGACAGGAAAAAAGCAGCCCCGGGCGTATCTGACCCTCCTTCATATAGGAGCAGTAACCCCTACTCCTGCTGTTGGGTAACTTTCCATTTCTTGTTTTTTTTAATCGGAACAAATTAACTTTAACCTAATAAGTATTTTCTCAACTCTACAAGCGTCAATATTATCTCAATTGTCAATGTAATATGTTTGCCAATACTCCCCAATCAGTTGTCAATTTGCACTTTTTTCTTCTTTAATCTCTGACACTTGTGTTACATAACTTTCTGACACTACTCTGTAACTTTTGGAGCGCTGTTCCCAGCATCCATCATTTTTAATTGGGTCCCTTTGACAGTTTTATGGGCAGGCAACAGAAGGACCCAAACGCAAAAAGTAAACTCCAAAAAACACAGCTTTATTGCTGGTGTGGTGAGACACAAATAACAACTCAAAACTAAACTGGGGAAACTAAATCACAAGGAGACACAGGGAAAATCACACACAGCTATGAGGGAGGACGCGACACTGAACACAGGAAGACTGAGGACTTAAATACACACATGAGGTGATCAGGAGAAGTGGCAACACACGGGGGGAACAGCTGAAACAAATGAACATAACGACATCACAGGGGAAATGTAAAACTAAACAAAATAACACAGGAACACAGGACCTCTTTCAAAATAAAGTAGGAACCATAATGAAACTCAGACATGACTACATGAACTTGACCACAAAAGACATGCAGACATGAAACACATAAAGGACAAGGGAGACTTAACAGGGGGGCTGAAAACACAAGGTGAATCTAATAAACAAATGAATTTAGATAACTTTATGAACAAACCATAAACATCAAAATAAACTAAAACTCAAAACGCTGGGTCAAAAGACCATGATCGTGACACTATATGGGTTAAGGATGGGTGGTTCACCACGTTCTGGCAGCACAGACAGGCGGAGAGGCTCTCAGGTGCATCTTAGCAGGGCCAAGTTTATTTAACCCTATGTTTGGACTTGTTGGCCATAACACAGTCAAAGGTTACCTGTTGATCCTAATGACTACGTTTAAGACAGTATTGATCACATATGCTCATACAACAAGTGGCACAAACTTCATTAATATAATTAAAGTTAATATTTGATATTAGGAACCTCCAGAAAAAACATTTGGAATAACAAACCTTATGAAAGACTTAAAATACCTTCACTCGGCTGAACATGCTCAGTTTAAAGAAACTAAAAACTAATACAGGGATGGCCAACTCCAGGCCTCGAGAGCCGGCGTCCTGCAGGTTTTGTCCTTGTCTTTGATCCAACACAGCTGATTCAAATGGCTAAATTAACTCCTCAACATGTCTTGAATTTCTCCAGAGGCTGGTAATGAACTAATTATTTGATTCGGGTCTGTTGACCCAGGGTGATATCTAAAACCTGTAGGATACTGGCTCTCAAAGCCTGGAGTTGGACACCCATGAACTAATATGCTGAAACTAAAGCTGGCCAGAGCTGGCTACAAGCCAGTGGCCCTTCTATCTTTCCTTGGTTTGAGCAGTGAACAGACCAAAGCAACTAAAAGCAAAATTATAGAATTATCATCGGTAATTTGTGATCAGCCGTTCTCCATAGATGAGGACCGAGGCTTCAGAAAACTGATAATGTAACTCAACCCAAAATACACTTTACTGAGTAGGTGTTACTTTTTATGTAACACCTACTCATGTTACCAAAGTTGTTAAATCTCATTTCATGACACACTCAACTGCCACAAGCTGATCACAAAGCAGCAATTGCTACATTAATGTTAAGTTATCAACAAAGTGAAAATGCGTATCTGATCTTTTTTTCTTATATAAATCTGCTGCAGCTGCTTTTGTTTGTTCAGGTAAAATATGTCCAGGAAAGCTGAGAGTAATCCTACAGCAACTCATTTTCAGTGAATTATTATTTGGACTTGTTTCCAGCAGCAGAGCAATTTCTCATGAGGATGAGAGAAGATCCTGTAACTCAGTGCATTTGGGGAACATTGTAAAGTTCAATAATTAATTTTATTATGAAACCAAAATTCTTCATCAATGAAAAGTAGAAATGTGTTTGTACTTGCTCTCAGTGACTGTTCTTAAAAAGAAAATAAATCAGAATCAGCAAAACATCAAATTGGCAAGTCAAACTTAAACATCTTGATGCATGCTCAGTCATCCAGATAAGTAAAGAAAAGTTGTTTCTGTTCATCTCGACGTAGCGTTTTCAGTGGGAGAAGTGTTTTGTCACTCATCAAAGTGACTTCTTCAATTTCAGCTGACTGCAGTTTTCCCCAGTCTTATAAACAGTACATTTACATAATGACTGAAAGTAGTTGCACTGAAGGAACAATGGGCTGGGAGGTCAGTTCCTTGATCATTAATAGAAATGTTATTTGTCATATACGCAGTACAAGATATAATGAACACGTAGTTAAATGCTTGTGTCCGATCTGCAGACGTAGTCGCGCCATTCAAGGGCTTGGGTTTAGCATGGGGGGTGTAAAGGTGTGTAGCCTTACCGCTACACTATCCAGCTGCCTAATATGCAAATTCTCATGACCATTGATAACAAACCACTGATCAAAGCCCACTGATCAATGGCCATGAGTACCATTCACAGAGAGTTGGGGAATGGCTGCAATAACACCATTGAAAGATTGTGAAACATGTACCCTTAGGCCCCCTCCTCGATTGTTAAGTGCCAGGATTGCCAGGATTTATACATCAGGAAAACCAAACAACCTTTGGCAAAGCGGATGGTACAACACAGAAGAGCTACCTCGTCAGGCCAGGACTCTGCAGTCTATTTACACCTACAGGCTGGTGGACACTCTTTCAATGATGAGGATGTACACATGTGTACACATGTGAAAAGGTACATCTTTCACCATCTTACAATGCTGTGTTTGCAACCATTCCCACATAGCCATTGATCAGTGGTTGTTGATGAATGGTCATGCAGTCCCTGCAGTCAGCTGAGACTGAAGAAGTCACTTGGATGAGTGAGGAAACGTTTCTTCCACTGAAAACACTACGTCCAGATGAACAGAATCAACTTTTGGGGGTCAGACTTAAACAATTAGAAATCTAAGACTGTCCATTAAAAAGTTAAATCAGCACATCTCTAGTTCTCACTAGAACCAGTAATGTGATGGTTTTGTGGTCCTTTTTTTCTCTACCACTTTTTACTCTGTCTTCAAAGATCAAACATAATTCCTTGCATGATATAATAAAAGTTACTTATAACAGAGTGGTTGTAAATGATAATAGTCATCTATGTTTCTGATGTTATGGCAAAATGTTCAATTCTTGTTTTAGTTTCTCCTCTTCATTTTTACGCTCCACTGAAACCAATTTAATGCTGGGAAAAGCAGAGAGAGAACAGCAGCCAGGAGAGAAGATACTGGAGCTGTTATCATCAGAGTGCAGAGATGGAATATTCCCTTTTAATCACACAGATGATGACTACGAAGAGATGGAGTATCAGATTCATTTCCTGCTGGATCTGTACTCTCATGTGAAGGACTGTGAGACTAAAACAGGCTTGAGTGTCCTTCCATCATTACAGTCAGTTTTCCAGTCAGCTCCTGCAGTCTGGTCCATAAACCTCTCAGAGAGAAAGACCTCCATCCTCCTGGAAGTGCTGAAACTCCAACCAGAGAAGAAAGAAGTGGAGCTGACAGGCTGCTCGTATGAAGAGAGTGAAGTGAGGAGTTTCCTGCAGTGTCTGCCTTATATCTCACAGCTCAGGTAAATGAATTCTTCTTCATACAATTCACACTGCGTCAGAACAGACAACATCTTAAACAAAGAAAGTTACAACAGTTTTTTTCATCATTTTCATTGTTTCGCTGCTGCGGTAAATCAACTCAAACAGTATAAAAAAAAATTTAATTCCAGAAGGTTTACTGTTATTGTATGATTTAAAATTAATATTCTTGTCTTTGAGTTTGTTTAGTTTTTAGATATTGTGATTTTTTTGTCACACATCAGGTAATTTTTCAGTTATATTTGTACTCTGTCTAATTTCAGAAGGAAACATTGTTCTCTGTACACTACTGTGTTTGTTTTATTATTTTTAGTTCTGTGCTCCCTGAAGGCTGATATCTTAAACATGTGTGATCACTTCATAAAAATTAAGGCTTGTTATCAATTCATCATGTTCATATAAAAAAGTAATTTGTTAGTTTCCAGATGCTCACATTGATTAATATATTTTCAAAGTTTAAAATCAGTTGTGTTTCAGTGAGTCGTTAGCAGCTGATCCAAGTTAATGAAAGTCACTGTGTGACTGAACAAATGAATCACAGAAGAGTGTGGAGAACACAGATGTTATTATTTGGCTATTTGTCCGAAAGAGTCTGAAAATATGTCATAATCTTCTCCCTGTATGAAAATGATGACATCATGTGATTACTAGAAAAACTGTAGCTTAGTAACAACAACACAGTCATGTTGAAACATCATCATGAAAGATCAAATTAATACTAAATACTAGTTTTGAAAAACTGTAAATCAACACTGCTGTTGGGTTTTTGAATAGCATGTCAGATTTAAGTTCATAAAAAAGAAACAGCTGTTACTATATGTGAACTATTTATATCTTTAAATTTTTTCAGTGACATATTTCTATGTTATAAAAATATATTTCACAGTTTATTTGATCAGAAATTGTAAATTAAATTGGTGTGTCACAGTGCAATGTATCAAATCATGTTACTATAATCATTGTATCATGTTTGTATGGGTCCTGTTTGCTAGCAAATATTAATACTTCTTATAAGTACTGACAAACTGAAGGACAAAACTGGTATTGCTTTGTAGAATAGCTCACCAGCTTCAAGTAAAAAAATTAAACAAATTGTTACTATACAGATGAACTAGCATCCTTTTCAGTTTACTCTAATAACACATGAACATGTGTAGAATAATTATGATTTCCAGGTGTGTGATCTGAGCAGCAGGAGAAGCTGCTGTTGTACAAGATATGAAGTGTAGATGTTGTTGTTTCACTCTGTGTTTCTATGTTGTTGATATTTAGTGTTTTACTCTCTAAAGTCAGACAGCAAATAAAATGACAGTTACAGTTCAGCACGCAGTGATTTCACACACAGGATTAGTGTTTGTGTTGTGAGTCAGTAAGATGGAGTCCATCAATTGTGTGTGGTTGTTTTTATTCAGCTCACATCAAATCATCACTAAATGTTTCCTTCTTATTGTTCCAGTGTTGATTTTGAGGATCGTGATGAAGAAGCAGTCAGGTTCTTTGGGAATCTGTTCTGTGCAGCAGCAGAAAGAGAACAGCAGACAGGAGAGAAGATACTGGAGCTGTTATCATCAGTGTGCCGATTTGATACATTCCTTTTGTTGGCTATGATGATGGTGATGATGATTTGGAGGAATATCGGTGTGATCTCCTCCTGGATCTGTGCTCTGATGTGAAGGATTATGAGACTAAAACAGGCTTGAGTGTCCTTCCATCATTACAGTCAGTTTTCCAGTCAGCTCCTGCAGTCTGGTCCATAAAGCTCTCAGAGAGAAAGACCTCCATCCTCCTGGAAGTGCTGAAACTCCAACCAGAGAAGAAACAGTTGAAGCTGAGAGGCTGCCCACATGAAGAGAGTGAAGTGAGGAATTTTCTTCAGTGTCTGCCTTATATCTCACAGCTCAGGTAAATAAAATGTTCTTCACATTATTAAATCGACACAAGATGAGATGCTTACTGAAATCAACAGTGAAAATATTTTCCGTTCTATGATTTTTAATGTAATATTTCTCTGCTATCAGTTTTATAGTGCCACATTAGTTTTATCCACATTGATCCTTCATTTCACACAAATGTTGTAAATTGACTAAAGATCAGGGTTCAATGTTTTCTTCTTCTTACTGACTTGTTGTTAACACTCACTTGAGTTTTTAGTCCCGTGAACATTCAAATGAAAGAGCTGAGCTGTTTTGAAGCTTCACTGTCTGACTTACTAAATCAATCAGTTTCCACTTTGAAACATGTGACAGTCTTCTGTCTGTGTGACAATAATGAAATGATATTTAATAAGAATCAAACAGTAACAATAACACAGCCATGTTAAAAGGACAAGAACATGTCACATCAACTTTAAGATAAAACAGGATCAAGCGTCTGTTGCTGCACAGAGGGCTGAACAATGAAGCAGGTTCATCATAACCAGGCTTTCTTTGTGTTCGCTGGCTTGATGAAACCTAAAGCTGCAGTCAGAGATAACAGCTGTCACAATGTGGGCTCAAAACTTTGTGTTCACTCAGCTTCAGTCTCTGTCCACACTCACATAAAAGGAGGAGTTTGATTTGTCTCTTCTTCCACACCAAATGGACCAATCGAATGCCACCTTCATCAGTCAGAAACATGATCACATGAATGGATGATAAAGATCTATGAAGTGAATGAATGAATGAATATATGTGTTTGAGCGCTCTGTGCTGCAGTTTATTTGTAAGCTGACAGCTGCACATTAGAGCTGTGAGACTTTAACCTTGATCCATTTAAAGATTAAAGGTTACTCGCTGCATTCAGGTCTGACACACAATCTGATGAAGGAGACGAGGAAACCTCTTTAGTTTGTCACCACATCAAAGTGAAGTTCATATTATTGGTGGATCTTCTCTGTGATAAATGGACTAAACAGCAGATTAGGCTCCACATCTGTTTCACACTGCATCAGCAGCTGCATACATGTAAACTTGTGTGACCATGTGACACACAGACTGTGCTGCTGTAACTTTACAGCTGGGCTTCATTCAGTGCTGTTAGTCAGACTGATACAGATCAACAGGTTGTATATATAACACGTACTGATTCAGCAGAGACTCTACATCACACTCAGAGCAGACTGGAAATAACAGAATCAGAGAAAATGTGGCACTTACAGCTGATTTTAATCTGAAACTCTGAACATAACCTGATCTAAACCAGGCTGTGTGTTCAGCATCTGTTACCATGGTGATATAGCCAGGTACAAAGAGAGCTGCTTTGGTGAAACTAAACACTCTGACAGGAGGCTCAACATGATCCACTTTGTGTTTAAGACTCTTCTTCAGCTGCAGAAAATATTAATGTAATATAATTTTGCAAACTTTCAAAAGTAAATGAATCAAAATTTAAATTAATTAATTTCTCAGCAAATGTTAGTAAATATGTGATCTCCACGTGTGTGATCTGAGCAGCAGGAGAAGCTGCTGTTGTACAAGATATGAAGTGTAGATGTTGTTGTTTCACTCTGTGTTTCTATGTTGTTGATATTTAGTGTTTTACTCTCTAAAGTCAGACAGCAAATAAAATGACAGTTACAGTTCAGTACGCAGTGATTTCACACACAGGATTAATGTTTGTGTTGTGAGTCAGGAACAGTCTAAAAAAATGTTCAGCTGCTCTGATGGCTTTAAATGGACTTTGATTATATACAGTAGAGCAGGGCGATATAACCAAAAATATTTATGACGATATACATTTGAAAATTTGCGATAAAGATATAACTGACGATATAATTGACACTAGACAAAATATTTTACAACTCCACAACTTTATTAGTGCAAAAAACCCCCAAAAAAACAAACGTCAATGTATTTTCACTTAAACAAGCAGCTGTTTTTTATGTGCATTAAAGTTATATAAAAATGTGACAGTGCAAATTCCTTGCTGACAGTTTAACCAAAAGGCATTTCCAGTGGAAATTGTCCGACATATCCTCAGCATAACCATGTATAATATCCACGAAACTTAAAAAGAGGTTATACACACACAATACTGTAATACTATGTTGAAGCACAGTACGTATCACTCCGCGAGGCTCCTGCCTACAATAGCCGTAATGCTCCGACAATCCATCAAGCGGTGCGGGTTCATAGCTTAGCAAAGTCATAGTAAAACATCTGACAGATTTTCGAGCGCCGTGTACCACATAAAATTGTTTCGAGGTCAGTAAACACAACCAGAATTCATACATAAGGCACACGGGATTTTAAGGGGCACTGTCGATTTTCAGAAAAATCAAAGGATTGATTTTAAGTGCGCCTTATTTTCCAAAAACATGGTAATAACGACGGCCCGCTACCATGCTCTACCAAAAATTGTGCTTTGTTGTGTATCTGACGGACGAAAGCTAAACCAGTTCCACACCACTGAAGTTGCAGCATTTTACAAACCAATTCTGGTTCATCTGTTTCATTCAACGATCCACTTTCGCCCTTCTCATTCTCCGTCGCTGAATGCTTTTTCCCCATGTGCGTATGAAAACAAAGGCACTGAGCATGCGTGTTTTACCCATATTCTATCGCGATATTTAATTTTCTTATCGTTGCCCAACATTACACCGGCATTACTGTGAACGGTATGATACAGCCCAGTTCTAATATACAGGACACACATGGACAACTCTCAGAATACTCTGAAATACATGAATTAATACAACACTATCACAGCTGTTCTCACACAGAGTATTCTACCTTTTTACAGCGCGGGAAATAATTATTTGATCCTCTGCTCAATTTATAAGTTTGCTGAATTACAAAGTAATAAACAGTCTCTGATTTTTATCATAGTTTCATTTTACTGAAGACAGAAAATCAACAAAGATCCAGATTAAACACACAAACATTACAAAGTGATTTGTGTGTCACTGAGTGAAACAAGGGTTTGATCCATCAGTAGTGTGTAGTTGTTTTTATGCAGCTCACATCAAATCATCACTAAATGTTTCCTTCTTATTGTTCCAGTG